AAACAACATTATTTTGTTAAATAACAACATGGTGATGTTTTGTAAATGATTACATGTCTCTTATTTAGCACAGACTATGATCCTATCCGTGACATATGGATCTTACCAAAGATCCGCTATACAGTAGTACCAGACATACTGTACATCCAGCTTACTGTATCGAAGTTGATTTCACATGAGCTCCAGTGTGGAAGCCCACTGCACCCCCTGGTGGATCAATGATCCATTGCAGCTGGCTTCACAATAATTACATTTATTTATCACGGGGGCGGTCTCAAGTCAGACTGGGGGCAGGCTCTTCATCACGGCCTTTCACGGGCCGTTCACGGGCCGACCACGACCCTCGCGTTTCAAACTGTCCTAAATTAGCTGCTACATCTGTAAATGTAGCGATACCAAATTACTAAATGGATTTGTAAAGTGTTATTCTCAAAACAGTGAGCATTTGTTTTGAAGTTTTAAATGAAGAAGTATGAATATAATTACTATCGGGGCTGTGGCCTGCAGTTAAAAATACCTTGACCATTAATCTAAGTGATGTTAACAGTGAGCACCCTGCTGAAAAAACCAGCTAAGACCAACAAGGCTGGTCAGGCTGGTCAGGCTGGTAAACCAGCCTGACCAGCCAGTCAATATTAGGCTGGATTAGTTTGCTGGTTAAGAGGGGTTTTGGACACTTTAGCTGGTCAGGATAGCTGGTTTGGTCACAGTGGTCTAGCTGGTCACCATTAGCTGGTCGGGATAGCTGGTTTAGCTGGTAAAAGCTGGTGGTCACAGTGGTCTAGCTGGTCACCATTAGCTGGTCGGGATAGCTGGCTTAGCTGGTAAAAGCTGGTGGTCACAGTGGTCTCGTAGCTGGTCACCATTAGCTGGTCAGGATAGCTGGTAAAAGCTGGTGGTCACAGTGTTTTAGCTGGTCACCATTAGCTGGTCAGACTTGTATGATCTTGAGTAGAACTTTAGCTGGGATTACTTGATGGTTAAGCTGGTCATATATGATGATGAAATACTCTCACCCAATTGCAGTAGCTCAATCTATCATTTCAGATCAGAGCACCTACCTTACCAGAAAGGTACCAGAATGTATAGAATGTATTGTCTGTAAATAAATACTCATACATCAAATGATTAGAAGCAGGAAAATAATTTATAACACACAATGAACATAAACACAAATTTGAAAACATTTTCAAAACACCCATTACTTCATATTTTTAAGCAGTTTCCTTCAACTGTTTCTTTCCGCTTTTCACAAGGTCCTGTATTTTTTGTGAAATGTAGTAACCGGCCAACTTTTCCCTCTCGGTCTTCTCCACGTTTTGTGAATTCAGCCATCCTCTGAAGCACTCTTGAAAAGAGAAAGGAAAAACAGATTAACTTTTAGCTTTGTGTTATGATTACTTAAAGGGGACCTATCATGCAAAATGCACTTTTGTACGTCTTTTCTACATGAATATGTGTCCCCGGTGTTCCAGGGAACTCACCAAGTGTCAGAAAACACAACCCTCTCTATTTTCCTCAATACCCAAATCTCAAAAAAAGGGGCTGCAACGGATCTGATAAAAACTGATCCAGATTTGAACACTTTACTGACGTCAGGAAAGTGGCGCTACGGCTATTGGGCCAACTCTCCACCTATCAGGGGAATGTGGGGTTGGGCCACGGCCGGCCATTGCCGCTCGAAAGCGCTGGAGACGCTGTAGTACATATGCCAGGCCTGTAAGTGGCGCTGTAGTCTGCCACAAAAGCAGCGAAGAAGACTTGGTTGCTATGGTTACCCTTCTGTTTATTCTCCGCTGTGGCTTTCTTTCTCCCTCCCCGAGGCAAGCGTTTGCTCCCGCTGCTTTAATTCAATGCAATCCCTCCCCGTCGAGGCAAGCACTGTAATTCTCTCCGGTTAGTCCACCAGCAGATGACAAACACCCACCTCTCCGCCTCTTCCAAGGAACGGGGACCGTGCGGCAGAGTTTCAGTTTCAGTTTTTTCGCCGGTCAAGATGTCCGTTAAAGTTTAAATCTTCCGGACAAAATTAGAAAAGTGCCGGTCAAAGGTCTTCTTTGTTATTTATTGAGCTTTAAAACAAATGAATAACGACTCTATATAATAAAACACGGAGGACGGAGATCTCTTTTTCTCCCCCTCTTCTGACAGCCCAGCAGCTGATCAGAGCGGCTCCCCTCTCCTGCAGGGGGGCGTGGTCAGCAGAATCAGACCCGTAGACAGCAAACAGCACATAGAGCGAAATGAGGCATGGCTAAAATGCATGATCTGTTTGGTATTTCGAAAACAGAAACGTATAAATATACCTTATATAGGTATGGCCCTACAATATATCATTTAAATATAGCATGATAAGTTTCCTTTAAATATGTGCACTGTGAGATGAAAAAGAAAAATGTATCAAATTTAGTTTTGAACATTCACTGTGATTGGGTCTATTATCCACGCAATACACCATATTACATTTTTTTCTTCATTTACATTATTTAATTTCATATTCTGTTCTTGTAAATATCATATTCTATTATATTAAATGTATATAAACTTTTTGCACTACTTTTTATTTTGTATTTTTGTATTTTATTGTATATGTTGCATTGTTGGAGGAGCTCAGGTCAGAAGAATTGCATTGACATTTCTACACTGTAGCTGCTGAGCATATGAGAATAAAACCTTTGAATCTTGAATCCAACACTTTTTTCAGTGGAAAATCCTGAATTGTAGGATAGTTTGGCCATAATAATGCTTTATGATTACATTTCTAGTGAGAAGTGTATATTTTACTTTCAGAATCTACCTCCAGTGGATGTGTAGGATCTACACAGGGTATATGCAGGAATCCTGAAGTCAATGTAAACCTTTTAAGACCTTTTTTAAGACCCTTTCCATACATTTTAAGACCTCATCGCCACTTGGAGTTTTAATCGGTTACCTTGGCGACACACTTTACCTCACATTTACTATATACAGTATTGATTGTCCTTCCTCCTTATCTTCCAACCATTTGGACGCAAACTTGCATTTCCCCATAACGATGTTGTTTAACAACCGGCGTAAACGGACCTTCGCGCGCTATCAAGCAGTGAGCGTGCGATGTCCTGTTCAGATGACGTCAAACAAGGATGCCATAAATAAACTACACAGAATCACACTACACACCTACGCAATGATTACATTCAGGCAGACTGTAGAATACAACCTCTTTGGACAATTTATATACTTATTGAAAACAAGCTACAAAATGTAATACCTTGGAAAATGCCGTTTAATACTTTTTAATAGCCTTAATTTTCGCTAAATTGATTTATCAACTTTTAATACTTTTTGAGACCCCGCGGACACCCTGCTACAGTATGATAGATATATTACTTTACACCCGGAAGTATGTATTGTCAATCTTATTGTCGATAAATTGAGGGATATACGCTATATTTTATTAACACCAGTATGTACTTTATACATCCACCTGGAGTGTTTGTCTCTGCACCGGAAATAATTTAATTTTAAAGTTCAACCGTATATTATATAGACTATCAGCGCCACACCTGCGTAACACATGGTGCCTCTTGTCTGAACAATGTTTTAAGCGATTTGTAATCTATTCTTGTCGACTTGCAGCCTAAATACAAAGATAACTCCACTCTCCTACCACTGCTTACCTCTAATGAGCCTTGGTAGAACTAGTGTCCGAGTCATGGGGTCCAGAACTGACTGAAGACATGTGGAACAGAGGACAGGCATGGTTCCATGTACAGGAAACTGGAACTTTGAACAGGTGTTTTCATCTTTCCTGCCTGAAGATTCACAAGTTCTTGATCAGGTGTTTGATGTGGGCTGGCATGATCCTTTCTGCAGCGATGAATAAAGAAAACAAAGAAAACATTTTTAATAATAGTAATGATGGTAACAACAATAATATTAGTATAACTATTTATATAGCACTTACACAATTGCAAAGTGATTCTCCCAACAAAAATAAAGAACAAAACAATATCAACAATAAAAAAACAAATGATTATAGGAATGTTAAGAGACAAAGAAATTATAAACATTCTGAGAGGCCGACTACAAAAGGTAGACTCAATGGCTCTTGATGACATCAATGCGCAGTCCCAATAGATGCTGTAGTATAAAAATAAATAGATTTATTCTATTTTGTGTTGGATGATTTGTTTTATTGATTGCTGATGGATGTATATATATATGGTTTATTGAACAGCAGTAAAGCATTAAGTTGCTAAATTAACGTACACTGAACTGTAAAACAACTTACCACTATTTAGGAAAGGCTCAGGAGGGTTGACTAGTAGGACAGCAAAGAGGTGGAGGAGGTCTCTGTACAACCATTGGTAGATGTTACACCTGAAAGAAAGATAATGAAATAAAAGAAGACAGGAGTACAAACATCCTCTTAAAGGTGGGGTAGGTAAGTTTGAGAAACCGGCTCGAGATACACTTGTTGTTATATTCCATGGAATGCTCTTAACATCCCGATAGCAATGAAATCTAAGTGCTTTGACAAAAAATCCATAAAAAAATGTAATCTGTGGAAGCCGTAGTACTGTAAAAAGCACGACCAATCATTTTAGCCGGCCCGGCTAAATAACTGGATGGCCTACCTGCCTGTCAGCCTTCCATCTGTGCACAAACTTATCTCGTGCCCTCATTGGTGTGTGCGCTCGTGTGTGTTGGAGGAGGGGCTCTGTAAGGAAGTGGCAGATTTTTTCCGGTTGTGTATTTTCAAATTCTAGCGCACTCGAGCTGGTTTCTCCAAAATTACCTACCCCACCTTTAAGTAAAAGACCAAATCATGTCAAGCTTTAACTTGAGCCTGTTTTTTCAGTCTTTACAATGCACTGTTGGAAAATACCTTCCAAAGGCTAAATTCAAACTCAATACCATAAATAACTGGGTACCAAAGTGCTTTACCTGATAGAACACGTTCCACATGGAGCAGCAACCATCCGGCTCGGCCTTTTGCTGCATATCATCTCCTCCCTCTCCACTGTTTCCATTAGATCTCTACTGTCAAATAAAACTGAAATTTCCCAAAAAATCATATTAAAAACAATAACTTGCTTTTGGCATTGAAATGGATTAGAATCTCACCATTTTCCTGGATGTCAGGAAGGCCAGGAAGTCATTCCCTTCAAGACCGCAACCAGTCATAGGAGTTCAAATGCAAAGCCTGAACGATGACAAGAGCGGGAGACTTACATTTTACAATTATATTTTTAATTAATACCAGAGCAGTGTGTACATAGGCCCTGTACGACATGCAGAGAACAGATCAAATCCCCTGACAGAATCACACACTTTGGTGATATCCTCTTCTGATAATGTTTCATTTTTTAGCAGCAAAGTAACATTACTCAAAGTATGTCAGACCCAACTCATTTACAGTATGTTTTGCATCTCCTCAACAATGGTCTGTATCATTGAGTAGAAAAAAACTGTCCCTACAATTTCAGGTAGATTAACACACATTTGTAAGACAAGTTTACAATGAAGCACAAAAACCCTCTTTGTATTAAGCGAGCTGCCACACAAAGTACAGCTTAACATGCTAACCTTTGGTAGAGAGCTACAGTTTGCTAACTTCATGTTCAACACAAAACCTCTAATGGCATTACATTGACAATTTTAAACAAAACGTAACTCTCTCAACTTGTAAGATAACGTTAAGTTAACTTACACTTAAATAACTACATCACCTTTTTCAGGGGAAACACAAACTGCAGAAAACGTTAGCTGCTAACTGTTGATAGCTAAGACAGCTAGCCTCCTAGCAAACGTAATATTAAGTTAAAATTAACGTAACGTTGTAAGAAAGCAAAACGAACCTTCGAGAAAGCTTTTACTCTCAGACTTGGTGAAATTGTGTAGTGTTGCTTACCTCCAGAAGGACTTTTAGCGCATTTCCCAGTAGACAGAGCTGTCAGAGCGGTGCCTCTCAGAAGAGCAGCCGCTGGGCGGAGTCACAGAAACGCTCAACTGATCTTCTTCACTCCTTGACCGTTGTGCCGTTAGTGCCAGTCAAAACATACTGCTTTGTTTCAACCACTGCCGTCTCGCCGTCCCCCGCCCTCTCTGTCTGTCTGTGTCTGTTTCAGTTTAGCCAGCAAGACTGCTGGTAGACCAGCATAAATACCAGCTTCACCAGCATCCAGCTTAACTACCAGCTAAAACCAGCATAGACCAGCATGACATCTGTAAGGGTCTCACTAGCACTGAGCTAGCTATCCATCCAGTTAAACCGTTTGAAAGAAAACTCCAGCACAGTTGTCAGTTTTACTGAAGTCTCTTTACTTGGTGAAACTGTAAAGACAATACAGACATAACAGTTTATTATTGACTGCCCGACTGACGAGCTAAATAGACAGAATACTTCACACAATGAGCTACGGTGCACAAACTGAGAAGCTAATCAGCCTAGCCGCTAGTAGCTTAGCCGCAAAGAATACTCACTGCATTCCTACAAACATAAACATTTTACATACAACATATTCCCATGAAGCCACAGTCTGTCGGACAATAACACTCACAGACGATGCGTGAACCAGCGGGAAATACGAAGCACAGCCCATGGAGAGCAGACGTCCGTTCATGAAACAACCCAAGCTACACGTGGAGCAACAGGAATCGAATAAACCACTAGAAAGCAGCAGTGTCAAACAACCACCACAAGGTGGTGCCAAAACACAGCCAAGAAAACACATACACGACAGATATACACCAAAAACACACATCAAGGACAGAACAACATCCATGCTGGTCTATGCTGGTTTAGCTGACCAGGCTGGTCTTGAACCAGCCACAGCTTGTCCAGCCTGGTAAACCAACTAAACCAGCCTAACACCAGCTAAAACCAGCATAGACCAGCATGACATCCATGCTGGTCTATGCTGGTTTAGCTGACCAGGCTGGTCTTGAACCAGCCATAACAGCTTGTCCAGCCTGGCAAACCAACTAAACCAGCCTAACACCAGCTAAAACCAGCAAAAACCAGCTAAAACCAGCTAAAACCAGCAACCATCTTAAGCTGGTCTATAGCTGTTTTTTTCAGCAGGGCAGAAGGACCCTCATGCCCCCTACAGAGATGAGAGGGACTGGAGAGAGGAAATCATACATTTGGTGATATGTTGATGGCTCTCCTCAACTTTAGCAGTATATTGGCTCTTTATTAGTCATTATAAAACACTTATTAATCCCTTATTCTACATGACCATATTCTACAAGTAATAGGCCATTAGTTGAGAGTTTTTCCTCAATAACCCTCTAATTAGTGCTTATTTATTGCAAGTAAGTTGTTGTACATGAGTTTTGGTCTTAATATGCTCTGCTCAATATGGGCCTAATAAGGCAGTAGTACCACAAGAATAGTAATTCTCCCATAATAACACTTAACAAATATGATCTATTCTTATGTAACAAGACATGAAACTATAAGTGTTAATTGTGTCTAAATAACTCAAAATTAGGTATTTATATCTAAGAATATGTTTTGGGGTATTGACAGTTCAGCTACCAATAGCAAGGTGATATTGAATGTTTCATATTTGCACATTTATATTTTTGTAAAATTTGTACTGAAGGTTAGACAGGAAACCGGGTACAGGAAGTAGGAGAAAGTTAACTGAATAGCATGGCAGTAGACTACTACTAATTTTCCCTATGCAACCTGAAGAGTAAAAGGGTCAAGTCTGTCAGAAAGCAATGACTGTAAGTGTAAGCCTTACACTTACACTGTAAGGATTAGTAACATGAATTGTCTTTATGTGATGACATTTGGAGATGTTTAAACACAATGAGAAAATGCGTTAGCATACACGGTAGCGTTAGCATACATGCTAGCGTTAGCCATACTAGCCTGTATACATGCTTATTGCACAGCTAGCATTAGCTATATTTACCTTGTTTACACTTAGCGGTCCTATGTGTTAATCTGTGTATGTTACACTTGCATGTATGAGATGTAACTTGTTTTTTTATAGTGTCACTCCGTTTGAATGTCAGTGGACTGCAAATAAGTCAATAAAGGAGCATGGCTGCTCATTCCCTGGCTCTCAAAAGAGTTTGGCTGGCTATTTAAAACCAGTTAAGCCCCATGCCCCCGATACCGGGGGCAAAACGCAACATCTTGCAAGAAACAGCGTCTGAGGGCTTATTAACATTTAACAAACTATGAATGTGTCATACCCACTTAACGGGAAGAAACTCAGCTATCAGACAATATTAACAATCTTTAGGTAAACAAAACACAAGGGGAATACCAGGCCTCTGAATTAGCCGCGAGCGAAAAAATGCTAACGCACTTAGCACAGAACTCACGGTAGAAATACCTTATTACTTATTGGATCTGCACAAGCATCACTGTGCTACCAAAACTCAGGGCAGCGAATGCGAAACCAGACAAAAAACAACTTAGCTTTACGGAGCCAAAACGGCAAAAAAACGTCTTACCTTTGCTGTTTTCTGATCAAAAGTTGTGTTCAATGGCATTAAAACGATAAAAACGCTGCTGAAGGTTAATCCAATGTGTCTGTGTCACTTTGAAATGATTACTGATAATCCATCATAATATATATGTCAATAACGGAGTTTTCATATATAGCTGCTATGATAGCTACAAGAGTGTATGACAGCTTCCGGTTTTGGGCATTCTGGCTACGCATCACTCATTCACCAATGGGTAATGTTTAGATGGATTTTAGGAACTTCCCTCTCGATTCTATTGTCTCTAACAGTTAAAAAGAGGTGTCAATCATCAAAATTGACCGATGGGTTCCAGAGATATGGAAAATTCACCCAAATGACCCCAGAAGTGTTTTTTTCTTCTAAATCTCTCTCAAAAGGTCAAATGTCACTTGTTTTGCATCAATCTTGATACAGGGTACTTATTATATGTTATAGTTTGGATTCCTAAAGCTTTTAGTCTACTATCCCATCATTCAAGGGTGGTTTTCACTATAAGTAATGTTGTTTTTTTGGACGGACACTGTAATTTACATTTTTTTACTATGTTCAATCTGAATTTACTTTAAAAGAAAAAAAATCTATATTGATTCTGACTTTTCTACATCCAACTCACAGGTTTATCATTGCTTTGAGAAAAAAGATTATTAATTTACCCCTTTTAGAAGTGAAGATATAGTAATTTGTTCTGGGAATGTCATTTTCGAGCCTGAGACCTGATAAACAGGCTCGGGGCTTAACTGGTTAATCTATGTTCACACTGAGACAGTAAAACACATAGAGAGAACAGTACACCTATTGTGTAAGTACACTAAAAAAACGTATTCTTGGTCCACATAAATATGAAGCAATATTTTCAGAT